GACTTTCTTTGCACGTTGGCTTTGTAAACACTGGGTCGGTACTTCCGCCTACCTCACGCGTGACAATTCTAACGTGACTACGTAATGCGCAAAGATCACGCGCGGTCAGCTCTTTGTCTGTGTACTCTGGTTCAAAAAGGTAGTGTAGGGTGAAAAACTCCATCTCATTTTCGCCTCCAACTTCAAAATCGTCTGTCATCGTTGTTTTACCGTTTTTTGTAAAGGGCGTTTGACTTTCTTTGCACGTTGGCTTTGTAAACACTGGGTCGGTACTTCCGCCTACCTCACGCGTGACAATTCTAACGTGACTACGTAATGCGCAAAGTCAAGTTAGTGCAAGTGCTAGTGCATTTGTGGTTAAAAAGTATTAAAAAAATTATTTTTTTAAGAAAATGACCGATTGTTTCGCTAGATAAGACCCTTATTCCTCGGCTGGGATCGTGTCGAGCCCTTTGAAGCTGCACTGAAACTGCAGTTTGGACCTTCAGCCCGTTGGCCACCATTGAAGTCCATTATATGGAGAAAAATCCTGGAATGTTTTCCTCAAAAACCCTAATTTCTTTACAAATGAAGACAGAAAGACATTAACATCTTGGATGACATGGGGGTGATTAAATTATCAGGAAATTTATATTCTGGAAGTGAACTAATCCTTTAACACCGCGTTTATTCTACAATCGAGCGACAAGTTACGCAAAAAAGGCTCCGTTATAATCGACAAACGCTTAGTTGATTCTTTTGCAGCTTATATAGCCTACGCTATAAAATCAAGATGTGTTCATATCATAATTCATATAATATATTTATAGGCTATAAACTAAGTAAGTACACAGAAATGAAAGTATTTCGTTATATGTTGTGAATAAAGAGTATTTGTTTTCTCAATAGTTAGTTTCTTTTGAACTAGTCGTTTAGTTCATAGCCTATACTGTAAAACCATATCAACCCTGCATGCCAGTGACGCGTCAAAAGTAGAACGACGCGTCATATTCAACGAATTCGGATTAACGCATAAATAACTGGAGCGCGCTAGTTTTGTCTAGAGGCGGTAAGGAGGTGTGTTTTACTCGCAGCCTGGTTTGACCTTCTCACTTTGCTCGTGTCTGGCGGCTTCCACACGGTTCCTCCGCACGCACACACACACACACACACACACACACACACACACACACACACACACAACTTGTGACGAAACGAATGGCTCTTACCGTTTTGTTCGCCGCTGCGTCACTGTCCAGATCGAGAGGCATGATGAAACAAAAACACTACTGGCCTGATCGATGCATTTGAAATCAACGCAAATGAAACAAAAGACATTAAAATGCTGAAGGACTTTTGTGGCGATGAAACTGATCCACCTTCAGACCATCAAATCCTCCTTCTCCCTGCGAAACCAAACACAACAACGACCGTATTCATTTATTTCTGGAGTAAATAAATATATATAGATAGAGTATAGATATGTATACACTAACAGTGTATGGTTGTAGCAAATCTGATAATTTTTTCCTAAGTCTATGAAAGGCGACACATTTTGTAAAAACACAAAGAGGAAACAAGTGTCTATAATGTTTCCCTCCTTATAAAACGAGGCAATATTGTCTTATCACATCACGACAGTCAGTAAAAAAGACTTGATTTGTGTCCACAGAAGACAAACAGCAGCCAGTTTGTGGTTCAATGTGGAAAGTCTGTAACATGGCGGGCGTCTGAATCCCTGCCAGTTTGCCTTTGCGCTTTATAACGCGGCCGCGTCGCGTCCACACAGGCGTCAATTCCATGACGCACTGGAAAAATGAGCGCATTTCTCGTTTATTTATAACATCTCGTTCATTTTCACATAATCTCATTCAAAAAGCTCCGACATATCATTAGAACATCAGTAAAATGAAGAGCTTTTACTGACGAAGAGCGAAATGACTTTGCTGTCATCTTATTCACGGAAAATTGGATTTGAGGAGAAATTGGGCAGAAACGCTCGCACGCAAAGTTGCCGTAACAACACGTGAATGTAAAAGACGACGTTTCAATTTAAACCAGATTCGCTGGTCATCTGTAAAAACTGCTCTTTTTATTTGATAGCCGTGATGTGTCGAAGCCTTTCTCAACACGACCTTTACGGACTCAATATTTCTGCCAAGACTGATCTTCAAGAAATCTTTAAATAGCCTACATTTTATTGAGAATACCACTACATTGTATAATGCTTGACAGAGCATTAGTTGACAGAAATTAGTTAAAAGTAGAAATATCACGAAATTTAAGACTAAAATACAAAAACAACAGGTTTAAAATACGTTTTCGTATTTTAAAAACTACATTATGAGTTGATTCATTAATGACATCTATTTAAATGGAACTTAAGTAGGCCTATTTTTAAACACTGAACCATTAGGAAAAAGGAAATTCGGCCTGACCTCTATTTTAGATCAGGCGTTTCTGATGTTAAACAATGAGTAAGTGGAAGAAATGAAAGGCCTAATGTGGAAAATCCAGAATACACTCTTACAAAAAAAGGTTTTGCAACACCTTCAGGTTCAGCACAGAATCATCTTCTTATCAAACAAATAAATAAATAACAAATTAACTGTATTTTACTCTTTGTAGACAAAGTTTTTGATGTTACAGGTTCTTCAGATCAACATTTTTAAGCACCAGCTATACTTTCTATTTTTTTCTCCTTTACTCTAATTTTTATTTATTTATTTATTATTATTATTATTTGGTTTTGAGCATTTAAGAAGAACTCAAGGTGTTTATAAAGTTGCATGACAGTGTCATCAGAAGAAGCATGACCGGCTGAGGGTCACACAGCCAGTGAAACCCATGACACCTGACACAGGTGTGTTTAGAATGGACAGACCTTCATGAATAAACACAATAACTTCAAAAGCGCATATTTAATTACAGTTAATGATACAGTGGAGACACCATGAGCCTATAATACGCTAATATAGGTCAAGAGTCTCTAAATATATCTTTAGATATTTAAAACCCCAACAACATAAAAAAACAATGAGTATTACATATTTTGCAATACATAATAGGCCTATTTGCACAAATAATCCTGAAAGAGGCCTCACAGAATTAACATCTCAAGATCAACCAGAACAGCTTCGTCTTCCTTACAATAAAGGCTTAAATTATTTGTAACCTTCGTTTCTCGCGTAAGAGGAATAGTTACAATCTAAATTGCGATCAAGTCAAAGTTATTGATAGAGATTGCATTTAATCCTGATGATGATGATGTGTTATATGCCGGTCGACAGATTTCAGCTCGCTTCATTCACACATTCATTTCACTATCGCGAGCTTGACCTGAATTAACATGACATATGAACTCACGCGAGCGGACAGATGGAAAATGCAGCAGCTGCTGGATTTTAAAAACGCACATCTGCGCAGATCTGAATTCATCATCTTCACCACCACCACCATCCTCATCCTCATATGTCAGAGAGAATCTCGGTGTGTGTATATCTGTGTGAATTACCCGTTTCGCCATGCAGCCCCGGGCCTGAACCCTCCGGTGGTCGCGCACTGCCCGTCTTCCCTCCGCGTCTCTCCCCGTCCTGACCCTCCCCGGCACCGGCCTGCTCCGCTCCGCCGTCTCGGGCTCTCAGACGCCGCAGAGGCCCGTCAGCTGGAAGGAGTTCGCGGGGTCCTAGAGCCCGTTATATCTGTATCACCAGTGACGTCACAGGGAGATCGATTAAGCACGTGATTTTTTTCAGCCATTATATGAACTTGCTTTACCGTCTGATTAAATATATATGTGTTATGTTCTTGTTTTACTTACATTTTAGTTGCTACAGCTTGATTTTACAGCTAAAATCAGCAGTGAGGGAAGCACCTTATAAGGTCAGTTAGGGTTTCTTCAGCTAGTAATTACAAGCAATATAAGGAGGGCTACCAATAAATTGTTCAAATCAAAATAAAATATATAGTGTACCTAAATTCTTTTTTTTGTTTGATTTACATTACCAGAGAAAAATGTAAATTAATAATAATATATTGCCTAAATTTATCATTGTACATATACATTACTATATCTATATCATTGTACCTATACATTCTATATATACACGCATAGCCTACACACACACTCACTCTCTCTATATACTATACTATATACTATATTTATGTAGGCCTACTATTCATTTACTGTTTTTTTTTTTTATTAGTTTGGTATGTGCCTTTGGTTGTTTCCTGTAAGTCATTTTGTCATGTTGTCAAATTGTGTTTTTTTCAGCGATAAATAAATAAGGAATAATTGTGTTTGAAAGAAGTTAAAAACTTTAAAAAAGTATTTGATGAAAAATACAGTAAACCGTATTATTGTTAAATATTATTACAATGTAAAACAACTGTTTTCTACTTTAATATATTAGAAAAAGTTTTTACTGCTTAATATTTGTGGAAATCATTATGCTCTACCTTTCAAAAGTTTGTGGTAAGAGATACACACACACTCACATACATATACAGTGGGTACGGAAAGTATTCAGACCCCCTTACATTTTTCACTCTTTGTTATATTGCAGCCATTTGCTAAAATCATTTAAGTTAATTTTTTTTCCTCATTAATGTACACACAGCACCCCATACGTGTGTGTAATTTTTCCACATTTATCATGGTGTTCTTTAAAGTACTTTAAAGATGCTAATTGTAGTACCATTGTATACACCAAAATACCATAGTATTAACATCTGATACATCATTGTACCATGGTACCACCAAAGTTTTTTTTTTTAGGGGACCTGACCTCTGCAAAGGGCCAAACACAGAATAATATAACTGTAAGAGAGAGAGAGACAGACGAGGAATGGTGTCCTTGAGTGAATCTCAATTCCGAGTTTATTTTTCACAATTCTGATTTTTTTCTTAGAATTGTTAGAAGAAGAAAATGTGATAAGAATTTTTTTTTATTCCGTGGTGGAAACGGGCTTCTATATTAAAGAAAGAAAATCTTTAAAGAAAAAATAATAATACTCCAGTCTTTTTTTGTTTGTTTTCATAATATCATTTATTCTGAACACAACAAATCATCACTTGAAATCACATGCGTGTAAATCACGGCCTCATTTCTGCAAAATTTGCTTCTTAAAAAATATGAAAAATTTGTTTGGTGGACAGAGCGAAACACTGCAGCAACCGGCACCGTAATGATCGCCTCCACCAAACCAGCCAGCTTTCACAGAAGAGCTCTTGACCCGAAGGGCACAGGAAGTGATGTCATTAAACCTCGTGTACCACAGGTAGAATCACATGACGCAGAGGTCCAGAAACAAATGTGTCCATGAATGAATTTGGCACAAACAAAAAACACAGCAAATTTTTATAGGAGTAAATAACAAGATGAAAAACTTCAAAAAAACGAAATCAACAAGTCATTTTTGGCAGATATTTAAGATTACAATGAAATGAAGGCATCGATTTGATTCACATTCCAGCTTTGCACAAACACACGATTACAGAGGCACACAAATACACACACACCTCAAAAAAAACACACAGCAGATCAGACGTGTGTGTGCAATGTTTTGTAGGTAAGAAATGTCCGTTCACAGGAAATATTGACTACAAACAGTGCTTCTAGAAAAAAAATCAACAAAATTAACAATGGGTAAAACTCTCCAGTAATAGAAGCACAGTACATAATCCGCCTCTTTATTATAGTACCAGTTCGAAAATCTATAAAACTAAATTAATTTGATCTTAAATATACATAAATGCTGTATCAGACTTGAAAATCTGAAATCGAATATTTGAAATGACCAAAATATTTCCGCAAATGTACACCGAAAAGCTGCTAAAAATGCTGTCCGCTACTGAAAATAAATAAAAAAATGAACTGAAAATAAATTACAGTACTGAACTTGACCCTTTTCTTTAATTTAGTTCCTTTTTAAGGTCATTTATACTGCATTCGCAGCAACTGCGTCCCCGAAATCAACATGGCCACACCCACATCAAGCAAGCCACGCCCACATACCTCAGCCAGCCAGTCAACATCACGCTCGTCCTTCAATCATGCATCACTTTCTATTGCGTTCCGTTCCATTTCGTTCCCACCTCAGTCTCGTTCTCGACAGATCTGACACGTCTTTGGGTGCATCAAAAGCTTTCAAACTTGAACAAAATCAGCTACAAAATCAAACGAGCATAGCTAGTCAAATTAGCAGGTCTGCAACACAGACCCCTTAAACCTGCATCTCTATCTCAAAACAAAGAAACATTGAAAACAACAAAACGGTTTCCTTCTCAAGCAATCCACAGGAACTCAAATCCCAGACCTCTCGCTGATTGGCTGAGTCTGGGTTCAGAGGTCATTGTTTTTGTGGCGATGATGCGTTTTGCATGGTGACGCCACACCTGAAATAATGCAAAAGAAAATATTCATTTGAACATTCAAAATGAACAAAGCAACACCCCTACAGATATAATGCTGTGTAATACTCACATGGCACTGCTTGCTTCATATTTGGCTTAACCTGGAAAACAAAAATACTAAATTGTCATTTTAAAGTCAAAGACTCACTTTAACCCAGTAAAGCCTGACATATGAAATAATATTCTTAAAGATCTAATTTTCTGAAATAGAACAGTATATTAAACCTCTAGACAAAATAAAAAAAAAATTGCATGTGTTTTACGTTTTGTCATATTTGACACATCAGGTTTTTATGGCTCATATAATATGATATAGTGAGAATATGGAGCGCAAACGGAGCAAAAATATACACTTCGGTGAAGGTGCTGATATTTAAATGCCAAAAAGTAACATGAAACTCTGATAGCTTGTAATGTAAATCAATGATCTTTACAACAGTATAACAGACTACTTACATAAAATGCATATAAATATCATTTGTTACTCTATAGCTCCGTATAATATGTCTTGATGAGATGAAATTTAAATGTTTAGCTTTATGATCAAAGTGCTGTAGTTTCAAAACATATAATGCAATGCAATACAATGACGATTGAGAGATTAACAAATAAAACGTTCCTCAAAAGCCTGAAGATCTCAGAACATTTTTAACATGATTCTTATAAAAAGATATGCATGGATAATCAAGTAAACCTAAGTTGCTTCAGTCAAGTGTTCAATACTAACATCACTAACAATGTAAAAGTTATTCTTATGCTTGCTTTATAAAAATCATTAAAGATTTCAAAGCAAGAAGACACATGAACCGTGACCTGAAGATGGACTAAAATGCTTTTTTACTTGCTAGCAAAAGTATAAACTATCAGTCACGCCACAGAAGGCATGTAGCAGATGCAGCAGTTTTGAACATGTTGATCATTTAAAGGCTTTAGAAATTTGAAATATCAAATAAGATACAGTAGGCTTTATAGGGTTAATAAAGAAGATATCTTGCATGAGACGTCTGCTAACATACTGTAAAAGTTGCAATATTCAGACACAGAGATGTTGTCTGGAGGTCTCTGGGGATCCATTAATACTCTTATCTGGAATTAGTAAAGCTGCTTCAGCTCAGTACAGTAACTAATTGAGTAGATAATCTCCTAACCTTTGTTTAACCTACACAGTGTTTTTAACTGAACAGACCTACTACACTTTTAATGCAGTGTAGAACAACTGTGTATATAAAACAGCTGACTTTTGTGTCCCTCGTTATCATATCCATAAATAATGACAAAAAGTAACACCTTAAAACATTAACACTTTAAAAATACAGTAATTTTTTTCTTTATGTATTTAATGTTCCCGACTGTGATTGCTGAGATTTTGACGTCAATAATATATATATACATTTTTTTAATATATATATAAATAATTACTTTTATTCATCAAGGATGCATTAAATTGATCAAAATTGATATTTATAATCTTACAAAATATTCCTATATCAAATGAATGCTGTTCTTTAAACCTTCTATTTTTTTTTTAAAGAATCCTGAAAATAAAGTGTCATGTCATCCTCAAAACTATTAAGCAGCATAACTGTTTTCAACATTGATGATAATCAGTAATGTTTCTTGAGCAGCAAATCAGCATATTAGCATGATTTCTGAAGGATCATGTGACACTGAAGACTGGAGTAATGATGCTGAAAATTCAGCTTTGCATCACAGGAATAAATTACATTTTAAAATATATTCAAGTAGAAAACAGTTATTTTAAATTGTAATAATATTTCACATTATTACTAATTTTACTGTATTTTTAGTCAAATAAATGCAGCCTTGGTGAGCAGTAGAGACATTTTTAAAAACATTAAAAATCTTGAATGGTATGTGTGTGTATAAAATAACAACTGATAATTGAAAAATGGATATTCACAGAAATATCAAGTTTAAAGTCTCTATTAATTTAGCTTGAGATGCTCCAATACAATTTTGTAACTTTTTTTTTTTGTCTTGAGACATTTATTTCAAATTAATGCTTTCAAAATGAAATGAGCCTGCTGATGCAAGACACCGTAAGTATAAGTCATTAGGACATTTTACCAGAGGCCTGTTTTAAGTGCTGCTCTCCAGAAAATATTCACTCAGGAAATGATTCCAGCTACAGCAATTTTGAGCAAACTTCTGCTCAGAGTCTAATTTGACTGATGGCGTCTGAAACTAGCAGAGAAAGGCCATCAGAAGCAGACCAATAAAACATGAGCGGCGGAGCTGGATGGAGAGATGAATGAACACAACAAAGAAAGAGAAAGAACGAGTGCTATAATGAAGGTGTTTCCTAGTATGGGTTCGGCTCATAAAGGTTCAGTGCGCAGGACCCCTCTGACCCTACTGGAAGTGGTTAAAAAAACATCCAGCACCCCTCCACACACTCGTAAACACTAACGAGTAATTAAGCATTAACGAGCCCCCTCAGACAGCGCAGACACACGTCAGACACACACACACACACACACACACACACACACGCCCCGTAAAACATTATGAGCTTTTGTTGTGTGCAGAGAGGATTAATCTCATGAAATCATTGATGTTCATGTAACCTGAGCGACTGAAAGAGGTCTGCATTCAGGAGCACAGATGCATTCTGGGTAATGTAGTTCCGATGTAGAGTAATACCTCTGTCTTTGCCATTCTGCAGCAGTGTAAATTTTTTTGTCTAGAGACAATTTAAGTGTTGTTATTGTTTACTTAAACTTAAATTATTACAACTAAAAACTATTGTTTTAATATTTATTCTTTAATATTTTAGTTAATAATTTAATACAAATTGTTTTCATTCATTTAAATAAAGCTGAAATAAATAGTAATAGTAAAATAATAATAGTAATTAGATTAAATGAACATTAGAAATGTTGCCTTCGCAACTAACTGAAATAAAATAAGTTTAATTTAGAAATACTAAAATTACGAAAACTGAAAAACAAAATTGCTAAAATATAAATATTAAACAAAAAATAATTAAAAATACAAAAGCACCTAACAAATTTACTTAAATGTAAACTAAAGTAGAAATGAAAACTGAAAATATAAAAATTAAAGCAAATATTATTAAATATTATAATAGCATATAAATAATACAAAATTAATCATATCAGTGTTATTTTAGTATAATTGAGATACTATCATGGTTTTTATTACGGTAATATTTTCAACTTTTTTTTTATTTTTCTGCTTTATTTTAATTTTAGTTAAAGTTTTAGTAATTTTGTTGTATGTTGTTTTAATTTTTAATATGTCTATATATTTTATATACATTTTTATTTCAGTTTTAATTATTTTAATAAATCAAGTTAAACTAAATAAGAATGAGAAATGTTTGTTTGGCATTTAGCAGAAATAAAATAATTTTAAAATATATTTTATGTCAGTTTAAAGCTTATTTTATTTCAAGTAAAAACATTTTTTAATGCTTTCACATTTATTTAACTATAATAACCCTGATTCATATACCAAGATATTTACATCTCTATATTCAAATGTTACCATGGCACTACAATGTCCAAAATAATTTTTTTGTGTGTGTGTGTGTTTACTTTTAAGAAGTTTTGCTAGTTTATTATTAATATAGTCCAATTGACAAGGATTATTTGTCTATTTCAAGTAACAGGTGACCTGAAATTCTCACATCATTTCTCTTTCACAGCTGTGAGAACACAACAGAGGTGTAAAGAGTACCTAAAAACCATATTTGAGTAAAAGTACAGATACCTTACAGTGAACATTACTCCACTACACGTTACAAGTCACCAATTCCAAAACAACTTGAGTAAAAGTCTTGGAGTATCTGATTTTAACAGTACTTAAGTATTTTACTTATACTAAATAACACAACTACCCACAATGCATCATGATCGTACCCGAGTTGAGCTCTTTGACCAGTGAAGACATGGTGTTTGTGATGGAGTCTGCTGCCACCAGGAGATCATTTCGCAGGTTTCTGCGAGGTCCTGTAGGAGCCAAACACAAAGAATGTCCAAATTATGACAGTGTTTTGTAGGTTTATTGAGTTCATAAAGGCTAAAAACTTGATAAAATCATTGAATTGTTACACCAACTAACATGTATGAAGTGACATATTTCGAAATATTTTGTCTGTCCACAACAAAATAACACCAAAATAACATATTTGATGTTTAATATACAGACTAACTATTTCAGACTAATGAGATGTCAAAATGGGCGGGGCTACCCAGTTCAATCCCCCAACAATCTGAATCATGTGGCCCACAAAAATTCTTGTTGCTCATCAGAAAAAAACCCCGCAATAGTCTCTGTATTTTGTTGTAAATGAAGATGTTACCCTGAGCAAATGCTTCCTGAACATCTCCACCCACTCCAGCTAGAGAGTCCTGGGGCCCGTGGGTGGGGGTGTGGCCTGCGTGTGAGGGGGTGGAGCCTGAGGAAGGAGAGCGAATGGGCATCGGCACAGAACGAGGGGAGGTGTGGCTAGGGGAGGAGCCAGCGGCTTGAGCCTGAAGAGAGAGAATAAATTCATATTTTACAAGATACACCTGCTAAACGTTTCTCCCTGCGCTTAAAACTACTGACAGATTTCACTACGTGTTTGCATGTAAACAGCTATTTACATAAAGAGAGAATTCTCTCTGCGAAACTAAAGCCAAACTCATGAAATAAGGGAGACTGAGAGAAAAATACAGCTAATGGCAAAGATCATTTAAATTATCTAATTATTTAAAATAATTTCTGAAAACAAAACAAGACACCTGTTAATGAAAAATATGTGCTGCTACTAGGGCTGTCAATTTTTTTTTCGAATTTCGAATATTCGTCTAATTTAAAATAAAAATCCACATTTGAATGCAAAAACGTTGCATTCGAATTTTAGGTGTGTGTTAAGGAGGCAGCCTTAACAGCGGCGCACGAGATGCGATGACGATGTAAGTGTCATTGCATTTTAATGTTTTTCTTAGCCTATTTAGTTGAAGCCACTAGATGCGGCACTGCTGTGTTGTTAATGACAAATATTGCTTGAAAAGAGAACATCAATGCGGAGAAGATCTTGTTTACGTCAAAACTGAAACCAAGCCGTTCACACAGAATGCATATTTTGCGCATTTTCTAGAGGGACATCTATCACTGTTGCACTCGCGTCTCACACAAAAGAGCCGCATGTTTAGAAAGCCATGTAAAATTAATGCAAGTTCAACGTTGAAAAAACATATCTCCAGACTTTATGGCGGGGTTTTTCCCCATCCCACTGCATCTCATGTTTTTAAATGAAAAATGTAACTTACATTGTGTGATTGGCTTTCGGTCCTTTGTATTAAACTATGCATACATACATGATACTGTGTTGTTTATAGTTGTTTAAGCAACTTAATTAATTATAATCGGTTTATAAACATTATTTTAAACATTATGCACTTTTTTTCCCACAGATAGTCATGTTATCTTATGCTTTGAATAAACGTGCGTTAGTAATATTTTGCTCGATGCGCCCTCTTGTGGCCTCAGGAGAGAAGCCAAAAGCTTTTCATCACCCTAACTGAAATTATGCATTTTAAATTCGAATTAAATTCGAATTTTGATCATATTTAAGTACAAAATTCGAATTTAGTTTTTCAGCCATTTTGACAGCCCTAGCTTCTACTACTTCTAACACGTGAAAAGATGCATTATTATTCTGTGAGAACTTACAGCAGACACTGGAAGTTAAACATCGGGAGGAAAAGAAAAGAGATAAATACGTCTAAATGAAAATAAATGAAAAACAATGGAAAATAACTTTCATATAAACAAACGAGAGACACTGAACAATTTCTCTCACATGCACAGAAACTCATACACACACAGCCAGTGCATTTTCATATTCCCATATTCATGTCCTAATACACTGGCTAAAATATTACAAACACCATTTTTAAAGATGGAAATCATATTAGTTATGAAATTTTTTCTCTCGTAATATTACAAATAAGTGAGCATCAGTGTTATTTTAGTATTATTTATATACTATGATAATATAATTTAATATTTTGAATTAGCTTTTATTTTTATATTTTCAGTTTTTTTAGTCATTTTTACCTGCTTTTATTTTTATTAATTTCTGTTTTTTAATATTTATATTTAATTTTATATTTATTTCAGTTTTAGTTTTAGTAATTTTAGCACTTCAGCTTTAACATATGGCACTATGACCACAAAACCAGTCATAAGGGTCAATTTTTCGAAATTGAGATTTATACATCATCTGAAAGCTGAACTTTTGTGCTCCAGGGTCACATATTTATTTCAGTTAGTTGCCAAGGCAACATTTCTAATTAAATTTTTTAAGTACATTTTTAATGTAATATTTATATTTTATTTTAGCTTTATTTCACTTAACCTAAACAATTTTGAATGTTTTGATTTTAGTTAACAATAATAACACTGCCGAACATAAGCCGAGTTTTATTTTACTTCATTGGTTTGACTGGATGTTGTTATTTTTGTCATGTGTTGCCATGAAATGCACTTAAAATATATGTAAAATATACTCTACACATGGTAGAATACTTCCTGCTAATAATAAAAATAACTGTAATAATCCAAATGTTTCAAAAGCTTTCTTTTGGTTTTAATGAATGATTAGTTTGTACTGTAGGTGTCCTCCTTATAGTTCTTTTGAAAAATTAAAAAAAGAAAATCAATTATTAAGTAGGGCCTACATTTTTAGGCCAGCCCAGAATTTCCTGTGGATTTTGACAATAGAAAATTTTAATTTATGGATAAAACAATATCTGTGATTATTATATTATATGAAGAGACTTTCACGTTTAGTTCTATAAGATAAATTACACTCAGTCAAGTCAAGTGTGAATTTTGAAGCAGTTATGATTTATAAAAGCCTTAGTTACAATACATACATGATTGTTTGATTTGTGAGGCATATAAACTCACATTATGGCATTGTGATTCTTTAGAAACTTGTTAGCAACTTTTAAGAGCAATATGAGATTAATGCTGTAGAACCATATAACCGTTCTATTTATCGACATATTTATTTATGTAAGTGACCTTTAAATGTGCATTTTATGAAATCACACAGTAATTTCTCTGACATGCAGAGTGAAACACACACTCACAGCTTGTCTCTGCTCCTCATCCTGCAGGAACAGGACAGAGATGGAGGAAAAGAACAGAGGGAGTGAAAAACAGACGACGAGAGCAAGTATTAACACTATAAATTCTAATCCGTAAAGAGAAGAAACAAAAAGTGGAAAATTAGATTAAGTATGTGAGAAAAGACAGCAGCTCAGATGCTAAACGCTAAAGAGAGTGTGGCAGTGACACACAGTGCCTCCAGTGGCAGAAATATTACAATGCACTAGAAAGTCTCAGTTGTTAAAGAGTGTGTCCTGTTGTCTTGTCTCGTCTTGCTCTGTGTGTCTGGTGTACCTTCAGTAGTTTCATGAGTCCTTCCAGCTGCACCATGAGCTCTCTCCTGCTCTCCTGTAGAGACGACATCCTCTGCTCCAGCTCATCCTTCCTCTGCCTAAAACACACACAAACACAAGCACAGAGCTTAGACCTCTCACAGACACAATGATTTCTGACAGGATGATGATTATTAGACCCAAACCCTAAACTAAAACCATCTTACAGATTTAAAACACAACATGTTTTGGAAGATTTATTTTTACATTGTGAGAAGTGCTTCAAATTGCCTCTTAAAGTTGTTTTTTGACATATTTGGCATTCATTTGGCAAATATGTTTTAAAAAATGTGAACTTGCAGAAAAATGAAACACTTTTACACAGTTTCGACAAGTTAAACTGGTCTAATGGGAATCTAATGGGAGAAGTCAAAGAGAATATTGGCAATTAAAAAAAATAAAACAAAGTAAAACTGTCTAGACAAATTATAGTGAAACAAACAAACAAATGTTTTTATTCATTTAATCATTCATTCAAATGAATGAATGAATGTATGAATGCTTTATTGTCATTGCAGAAAACACATTTTCTTCCAGTGACTTAGAGGGAGAAATCATTTTACGATATTTACTCAACAGTTGTTTGATGTAAATAATCTTGTAAGTAAATAATCTTTTATAATAATAAATAAAAAGGACGGTAACATTTTACAAGTTACCTTTCGTTAACATTAGTTAAGGAATTAACATGAACTAATAATTACAAATATATTTTTTTCAACATTTATTAACCTTTGTTAATGTTAGTTAAAGGGATAGTTCACCCAAAAATGAAAATTTGATGTTTATCTGCTTACCCCCAGGGCATCCAAGATGTAGGTGACTTTGTTTCTTCAGTAGAACACAAATGATGATTTTTAACTCAAACCGTTGCAGTCTGTCAGTCCTATAATGTCAGTGGATGGGAATCACGGCTTTGGGAGTAAAAAAAACACACAAACAAAACCAAATTAAACCTTGCGGCTCGTGACGATACATTCATTTTTCATCCAAAATAATCTTAAAAAAATAACAAATATTTTGCAATAGCTAAAACAAAAAGGCATTCAGAGACTGAATCTGGAAACATCTGCATCATATCTGTGCTCAGAGTGTGTGTGTGTGTGTGTGTGTGTGGTCCGGATAAACCCTATGTTGTAAGGACCAAAGGTCCCCACAAGGATAGCAAAACCTGAAATTTTTTACCTTGTGGAGACATTTTTTAGGTCCCTATGAGGAAAACAGTTTATAAATCATACTAAATAATGTTTTTTTTTTTAATGTAAAAATGCAGAAAGTTTTCTGTGTGGGGGTTGCATTTAGGGTTAGGGAATACAAAATACAGTTTGTACAGTATAAAAATCATTGTCTATGGAAAGTCCCCATAAAACACAAAACCCAACATGTGTGCGTGTGTGTGTGTGTGTGTGTGTGGTACCTGAGCTGTCTGAGTTCTGCCAGCAGGGCCGGGTTTTGTTGGACTCTCTCTGGAGTCGGCTGACATGCCTGTTCATGCTCTGCTCGCAAACGCTGGATCTCCTGTAAAATCTCCCTGAAAACACACACAGAATTATCATTTACACACTCACTGAGACTAAAATCCAAAACCAAAAGCTGGATGTAAATCTTCATGAAAACATCTCCATATGCAGCTGTGAGAGAGTACCTGTTCTTGTGCTCCAGCTGCATGATCAGCTCTCTCTGCTGTTTGTTGGTGTTGTAGCTGAAGTCTGAAGGTCTCTGTGATTCACAAAAGCAGCAGGAACAAAGAAATATATGAGTGTTTTACTCTGTGCATTTGCTTAGCTATAGTTTGGAGACAAAACAGTCTCAAAAAGTAAGCTAAATCCGACTTAACGCTTCATAAACATTTCTTTGGGGGTGAACTTAAAGGTAAAAATGATTCATTAAGTCAATAGAGACTTTTTTTAATGCAAGGCGGCATCTTGTATGTCTGTAGTGAGCATAATTTGAAAAGAGATAGTAAACGTGTGTGTAACTCACTCCTGTGTGTCCAGGATCCGTGGCCAGACGAGAGGCGTAACGAGCGATGAGTCTGTGCTCTTCATCCGTTCGGCTAGGACTGTCTAACGCACTACAAACACACACACAGAAAACATTATTACATTTACAAAACCCTACATAACCTCAGCTGACACACACACACACACTCACCGTGGGCTGCTCTGGAGTTTATTCACATACGCCGCGATCAAAGCGTGTTCCTCATTCATACGCTGAGCTGTGGCTAGAGTCGGCGGTCTACACACACACAGACACAAAATTTAATTTAATTGCAAATTACAGTTTCAAACAGTTTCTGTATGAGTGGGCTGTACTCTAACACTGCTTAGTCCCTAATTTGTATTAAGGATGCACCTAGGGGTCCAAAATTAAGGCTGTTATTTAATTACATCATTTGTTTAATTTTTACAATTTCATCAAATAAAAATTTCTTATAATAATAATAGTTGGTGTTGTTGTACAAATATATATATAGACTGTATTTTTAAAAAAACACTACACATGAAAATGTAATTTAAATATGTTTTTTAGGTTAAATCCTCCAGCCCTACACAAAAGTATAACTTGTTTTTTAACGTGATATTACAGCCAAACCACCATGATGTGACCTTCTATTGCAAATACATTTTAGAGAAAATTTTATTGGAAATGATGCTTTACAGTACATAAAATTGCTTAAGTTAAACCTGTTATTTTGTCACTTTTTTAATTAAATTGCCTTCCCATATAAAACTATACTATAGTTTTAAAAGACAATATATGCAATGTTTTTCGAGGTATTTTTTTTTATTTTTAAACTTTTTTTTCCCCAGCAGAGTTCAAGTAACAACACCTACCAGTTTTTGTTTTTTATATTTAACAGTAAAATGGTAACACTTTACAATAAGGTTCCATTAGTTAATGTATTGACTAACATGAACAAACAATGAACAATGCATTTATTACAGTATCTATTAATCTTTGTTAATGTTAGTTAATGAAAATACAGTCGTTCATTGTTATTTCATGTTAATTCACAGTGCATTAACTAATGTTAACAAGCACAGCTTTTGATTTTAATAATGCATTAGTAAATGCTGAAATTAACATTAACTAAGATTAATAAATGCTGTAGTAGTATTGTTCATGTTAACTAAAGTAGTTAACTAACGTTAACTAATGAACCTTATTGTAAAGTGTTACCAGCAAATTATTACAGTGCTGTTGAGAAGTGAAATTAAACATTTCGTTTTCCTTGTGAATTATTAATTCATGTATCAGAGAGTTTTAAAAAATTGCAAGCACAATTTTTTGTTGTTTCCTCATTGATTCCTCTTCCTATTATTTTTTAATGAAAATGTTAAGTTTCATGGCCTGTAAAAAATATTTATGGCTGGTAATTTTTCACCAGCTATTGGCAGGTGAGGGAAAATGATAGTTTTGGACCCTGGAAGCCCTGATATTAAACTTATAATAAATGATTAATTATATTCATGCTCCCAATAACCAATAGATGGCTGATATTATAAATCTAAACTAGATTTATAAAAAAAAAAAATAGATAAAATACACTAAATATTAAAATAAATAGTTTGTATTTTTAAAACATTTTACAACATGATTACAGGCATCACAACATGATGTACAGTATGATATTGTTAAAATTATTTTGAAATATGTGTGTAGAAGAAATGATAAAAGTTTTAGCTAAATGTTCTAGCTCTAAATTTATGAGTATCGTAACAGACAGATTAAATAAAACTTCTCACACATAAAGCACTATACACTGACTCATCTGAAAGTTCAAAGGTGAAGGGCAGGTGCTCACCTCTTAGTGGGGCTGGGGCCTGCAGACGGGGGCAGAACTGGTTCATTCATGTTTCCTATTGGACGGGGAGGACTAGAGGAAAAAAAGACACAATAAAATAGTTATCTATATGTAACAAAACAACACCACCCTGTATCATATTCGCAATCCAATACTTGTTTCTCACCAATTTTGAGGTGCTGATTTCAAAAATTGTATTTTGCTTGAGCATGTCGCACTTTCTCACAAAATATGATGAATTTAGTAGCTTTTTTGCTTTCGACCACCATTTGTAAGGTAAACAAGTTTTGTATTATCCCTTAATCACAAGAAAAAAACACTATAAAGACATAAAGACATAATTCCTAAGCCAGGTTACAAATATCTGTTCGATTCTCAGCCTTTGTTCAATTTTTTTCACTCCTTTGCAAAGTGCAGGTTAGATGATACATTTTGAATGCTTCTCTTTGTCATTAAAATATAAACTTTTGACATTTGACTGCTTATGATAATTTGTCTGATATGTGTTGCTGATACAAACACACATATATACTAAATATTACCTAATTCAATGATGCTGAGGTCAGATATATCAATTCAAAATTTCCATTACATCATTTTTTTTACAAAATGAGAATGAAGATTTTTCATTCTTAGAAAGAAAAGAAAAAAGAAAGAAAAAAAACCTGATGTGATAGCAAGATATAATTGAACTTGGCACCAGCAAATTATGAAATATTCAGTAATATTAACATTAGTAATATTTTTGCAAATCAGCAGATTTTTTTTCAAGATGCAGGGCTGTGTAATATGTGATACCTACATAATTTAATATTAAGTAGTATTTTTTAATATTAGATAATACATGTCTATAACTATATTAACCAACATTTTGAAGTTTTTCATCATTGTTCATGCATAGCTTCACATTTATTGAGAAACGGGGAATATCTGCAATTTTAAAAATGTGTCATTATATTTCATTTGTATTTAATTTGTCTCACTGTAGTGAACTACAAAACAACTAAAAGGTGAGAAAAGCATATTGAGAAAAGCATCAAAGAAATATTAATTAGTCATAACACAGACAGTCACTTTCCATTACACGTTCATGAACACTTTAACCTGAAATCTTGATTGATGTAAATAAAAGTTCATAGACACCTTGAAAACAATCTATACATACTTTCTCTCTCTCACACACACCCATGCATTCAGAATAAATTAAACATTACACTGTTCAACTGACCCAAAGACACACACACCGGTCAGTCATGCAAAATTAAGGGACTGAAGCAACACAGACAGAACAGAGAGAGACGAGAGCGGGATTCCTGGGAAAACAGACAGATCACCAGACACCAGAATGAAGACAAAATCATAACTGACCTCACGTCTGTAAGCAGATAATAAAAGCAAACTCCTTCTCTGTGATCGTGTCTGACCCTCATCAGTGTGTCCAGAGACAATGTGATCATGTGATGCTGGGAACCAATAGAAACAATCCCAACAGACAGAGGACTGTGCGTGTGTGTGTGTGTGTGTGTGAGACTGTCTTACACTATATTGGAGAGGTTGAGGGGTTTCTCGGGGTATTCTGGGTAGACGGGGTGGGATGGCTCTCTGCTCGGCACACAGCCCAAGGATTTACTGATGGCACGACCCAGCTTCTTAGCTGGAGATTTCTGGAACAAACACACACAAATAAGGAACCAAAAACTGAAAACCAAAAGACATTAAACGTTTCCACTTGTATCTTGTTGCACTGTTTTTGGATTAATTAACAGATCCATTTGCATAAAGAAATGCAGACTCAGTATAGAAATTGGTTTTCCAGCCTGTGGGAAACCTGCACTATATAAAGTACCATGAAAACATTAAAACAACCATAAAAGTTTGGGGTTAGTCAGATTTAAAAAAAAAATTTTTTTTTTAAAGTATTTTTTTCAGCAAGGATGCATTAAATTGATCAAAAGTGGCAGTAAATACATTTATAACGTTACAAAAAATATTTCACAAAAATATTACGCAGCACAAATATTTTCAACATTGATAATAATGAGAAATGTTTCTTGAGCAGCATATCAGCATATTAGAATGATTTCTGAAGGATCATGTGACACTGAAGACTGGAGTAATGATGCTGAAAATTCAGCTTTGACTCACAGGAATAAATAACAGTTTAAGATATACTGAAATAGAAAACTGTTCTTTTAAATCATAATCATATTTCACAATATTACTTTTACTGTATTTTTAATCAAACAAATGCAGCCTTGGTGAGCTTTTAAGACTTTTTAAAAATCCTACCGAACCCAAACCTTTGAATGGTAGTGTAGAAATGTAAATTTGCTAAAGAAAACTTTTATAATTTTATTAACTCCCATGATTTAATTCTTTTTTATTAATTGCCATAAAAAAAATCCTTGATATTTCCTGGTTTTCCATGTTCATAGATGATGGAAAGTGACATAACTAAATTATGACTGTTTTTAGTGCACTGTTTTATATATGTATATATATATATATATATAAATAAATAAAAACGTATGACATGGCAACTGTAGCTGATCCTCACCCAGGACGAATGCTCCTTCATCTCGTGCTGGTTGTTGTGGTTTCCGCTTGCATGACCTCGCCAGAAACAGTTCTGACACAGCTGATAGTTAAAACACTGCTGACAGCGATAACGGAATCCCATCATGCCCTCCGACCGACAGAAAGAACACGCCACCGGATGATGGACTGAGAAAGAGAGAGATTCAGAGTGTTGGAATATATGAATATTAAACTAAAAAAATGTATGTTCATGGAGTTAGGGAATTGTGCAGATTCTAGCTCTGTCATGCCAGCATAAATGAGTCTGAGTAATATGAATAATTTAAGCGTATATTATTCAGTGTGTGTGTTACCGTTCTCCACGTTTGCTAGCCGTTGCAGCAGAGGAAGCCAAATGAGACACTGAGGAGGAGAATCTGACATCAGAGTATCCAGAAACATGTTCAGCATCACCTTCTTCTGTTAAACACACACACACACACACACACACACACGGACTCAAAAAGACATTGATGACAGAACTATGGCACATTTACACATTCTGCATTTTCTGACAAAAACATGAGTGGTGCTTTCCTTGTGCAAAACCTGCTGTTACTAGTCAAGGGTTTTGCTATATGGTTGCTAAGGTATTCTGAGTGTTAAGGACACTGCTATGCTGTTTCTATGTGGTTGCTAAGGTCTTCTGGGCATTTTGGACACTGCTATGCAGTTGCTGTGTAGTTGCTAAGATATTCTGAGTGTTTAAAGCACTGCTATGCTGTTGCTATGTGGTTGCTATGGTATTCTGAGCATTTTGGACACTGCTATGCTGTGCATTTATATAATGAGCATTTTGGACACTGCTATGCTGTTGCTATGTGGTTGCTAAGGTATTCTCAGTGTTTTTGGCACTGCTATGCTGTTGCTATGTGGTTGCTAAGGTTTTTCTCAGTGTTTTGGACACTGCTATGCTGTTGCTTGGGTGTTGCTATGGAATTCTGAGTGTTTAGGACACTACTATGCTATTGCTACATGGCTGCTAAGGTATTCTGAGCGTTTTGGACTTGCTAGGTTGTTGCTATGGTATTCCCAGTGTTTTGGACACTGTTATGCTGTTGCTAAGGTATTCTGAGAGTTTGGGCACTGGTATGTTGTTGCTATGTGGTTGCTAAGGTATTCTGAGAGTTTAGGGCCCTGCTGTGCTGTTGCTATGTGGTTGCTAGGGTGTTGCTATGGTATTCTGAGTGTTTAGGACACTACTATGCTGTTGCTATGTGGCTGCTAAGGTATTCTAAGCATTTAGGACTTGTTTAATGTATTTTTATCTAATTTTTATACAGTTTTAAAATTTGTTTTTCAGTTAAATTATAACTGAAATTCAAGTTCAAGTAAACCGACTGTTACAAAGACAATTAAAAAAATCAAGTTCAATTCAAGTTCAATAAATGCATGATCTGGCTTTCCAAAATCAATGAGCGATTGGTTTAAATAACTGTGATCTTTATACTGACCAAAATAATTGTGATTATGATTTTTCCATAATTGAGAACCCTGCACCAGGTTAAAACTGCAAGTTTGATCACTTCATCAGGCTGCATGATTTGAAGCATTATTACTTCATTATTAATTTTGTAGCACAAATGATCAGTCATGCAGTCTAACAGTCAATGTTCTGGGTTTGTCCAGATCACTAACCCTATATGAGCAATCATAGTAAGGTTTAGCAAACACCACAAACAAGACAAAGAGTGGAAACGTGTGTGAAACTGTTACTTGTTGAGGAAAGCAGGATCTGGCGAAGTGATCCATGTAGCCGAACGACGGCCCCTCAAACACGGCAGTGGGCAGCTTCAGCACCTCCTGCAGGAAGTGGTCAAACTTGGACATCACCATCGCACCATGAGTATCTGATATCTGAGAGAAAATATCTAACACACACACAAACACAGGTGTTATATAGGCAAAGATACACGTTAATGAGTACTGATATGCATACAATCATCATCATCCCTGAGCTGAATAATGACACTGTTGTCTTCTGTAGAGCAGAATTTGAATTTGTCTCATATCTGAAGAAGTTTGCATCATTGATTCTGCTATTTTGATGTCTATATTACTGTGAAGCTGCTTTGAAACAATTTGTATTGTATAAAGCACTAAATAAATAAAGGTGACTTGACTTAATTTGATTTGTCCACTAGTGGGCGACACTGCTGAAATCGATGAATGAACTTACAGCGAAGTTTATCAACCAGTTTCCCTCCACACAGCACTGAGAGCATCACTTTCACTGAAAACACCATCAGCCTTCCCTGAGCATCACTGCAAAACACACACAGTTCCACCGTCAAATGAACTGATGATGATTTGCTGATCATTTAAATTAAAATTTAATTTATGCATTTAGCAGACACTTTTATCCAAAGCGACTTACAGTGCATTCAGGCTATACATTTTTTATCAGTATGTGTGTTCCCTGGGAATTGAACCCACAAATGTATTATCATTATCAATGTTAAAAACAGTTGTGCTGCTTCATATTTCTGTGGAAACCATGACACATTTTTTCTGAATTCTTTAATGAATAGACAGTTCATAAGAACAGCATTTATTTGAAATAGAAAGCTTTTGCAACATTCTAAATGTCTTTAATGTCACTTTTTGATCAGTTCGACCAAATTTCGCAAACACAGCACACACACTTTCACCTGTTGTGTGCCGCCATCATGAAGTTGAGCAGCAGGCTGGTGTTGTGCTGGACGTTGATCTGGTGTGTGGTGGGCAGCCGTTTGTTTAGCTGCTGGTAGATGCAGGTGATGATGGTCTCCAGCCGAGCCACGCTGATCTCGGTACAGACGTCCAGCGTGTTCAGACCGTTGTCACGGAACGCCTCGATCATGTTCCACACGTCCACCAGATGCACTGAGAGAGAAAACACATGAAATATAGGGAATTACATGGGAATAAAACTTACCATGTCAGTCCAGATTACTCCAAATATGATGAAAATAAACATGTGGAACGAAGAACTTACTTTTAAACTTGAAATTGGAACCCAGTGTCATTTTTAATGTACATTACCGTTCAAAAATGTTGGGGTCAGTAAGATTTTTAATGTTTATGAAAGAAGTCTTGTGCTCACCAAGGCCGCATTTATTTGATCAAAAATACAGTAATATTGTGAATAAAAACAAGTAATATTGCAAGTAATAAAAACAGTAATATTGTGAAATATTATTACCATTTAATCTATTTGTTCTATGTGAATATATTTTAAAATATAATTTATTCCTGTGATCAAAGCTGAATTTTCAGCATCATTACTCCAGTCTTCAGTGTCACATGATCCTTCAGAAATCATTCTGATATGCCAATTTGCTGCTCAGGAAATATTTCTTATTATTATCAATGTTGAAAAACTTGTGCTGGTTAACGGGATTTTTTTTTAGGGTTCTTTGATGAATAGAAACTTCAAAAGAACAGCATTTATTTTAAATATACATTTTTTGTAACATTATAGATGTCTTTACAGTCACTTTTGATCAATTTTATGCATCCTTGCTTAAGAAAACTAAAAAAATCTTACTGACGCCCAACTTTTGAACAATAGTGTATTTCTGGCTTATCTTGTTACATGTTTCTTACTAGTTTTTCTTTATGCTGAGCTTATTTTTGAACTCGCAAACAACACTGAAAATGCATCTTTTGCAACATTAGTCAGTTGTGTTTTAAAGTGACTGATACTCACGGTTGCATTTCTTCTGAATGAATCTGAGCTTGCAGGCGGTGCGGTACGTGGATAGCCGGATGGTGTCATAATTCTGCGTCTCTGAAGAATCAAAGTCACACATTTATATTCAGATGCACATGCAATAGGGGTCAACGGTCATGTGGTGGATGGGCGGCACTCACTCATGTCCGTGAAGATCTGCTTCCTGTCGGCCATGACATTCCCCTTCCGTCTCTCCTCTATCATCCTAGAGACACACAGTGAGAAATGAACCATAGACGGGTGATTACTTAATTAGAAGTACTTTTGAAATCTTGAAACAAATGATTTCTTTCAAACATTTCATGAACGTAAAACTGTCACATCAAGGCCTTGATCAATGTTCAAGTGGATTTTTGCATAATGTTCTTTTTTCTTGTATTGCAATAAAAAAAAATGCTTGATGGTAATGCAAGGTGATGGTAATGTAATTTATGTGTTACTAATATAAATAAAGACATGATTTTTTGCGTAATGATGGTAAAGAAATGTGATAGTAATGGATTTTTTCTTGTATTGTAACAAAAAAGAAAGAAAGAAAAAGACAGACATTATTTTTTTTATGTGTAATTGTGTTTTTTTAAACCATACCATGATGGTAATGAAATGTAATTGTCATGGATTTTCTTTTTGTACTACAACTAAAATAACTAAATGAATGAATAAATAAAAAGACATTAATTTTTGCACGATATGTAATAGTGTGAGGTTTTTTAAAGGGGTCCTATTAGCTTTTTCACTTTTTCAACTTTAGTTAGTCTGTAATGTTGCTGTCTGAGCATAAAAAAGATCTGCAAAGTTACAAAGCTCAAAGTCCACTTCAAAAGGAGATATTTTATTTAACAGAAATCACTTTTCAGTGTTTTTTGAACAACCTAGTATGAGAGCCTGTTCTAGTACACCCCCAAAACAAAATCAAGACTTTGTAAAAGAGCATAATAGGACCCCTTTAAACCATGCATGATGGTAATGAAATGTGATGGTCATGGGATTTTTGTTAAATAAAATAAAACATGAATTATTTCTGAATGATCTCAAATAAAACTGGTTTAGTAATAGCACCCAATAAAGCTGGATTTAGACCATCATGAAAAAATATTAATTACACATTCTGATCTTAAACAAATTTTAAGCAAATATAAACAAATAAAATAAACATTTTTGGAAAAAGAAAATGGACTGGATTTTCTCTAAAATGTCATTGTCATAGTAAAAAAAAAAAATTAATTGCAATTGCAAATAAACATGAAATCAATTGAAAATATTTAAATAGTTCTCTGATTTTAACATTTATTTACATGAATTTAACACTATTTTATATTTAATTGTTAAAATATTATAGAGGGATCTGAATGGGGAAGAAAAGTCAAAACAGAGAAATTTTGGCAAATGCAAGATTTCATCCCTCTTAACTAATAGAAAACACTTAATGAGTTAAATATTTACCTAGCAAGTAGCAACCACCCAGAACACCCTAGCAACCAGACGTGCCAAAAACTTGTTAACAATGACTTTTTGTGACACTCATTGTCAGCTGACACACAACTGAATTTCAGTTGCATCTTAAAGAACAGAACCAAATCTCTCTCTGCTTACTGCAAAGCAGTGAAGCATGTGTACACACATTCCTGCGGGGATTTGAGGGTCTCCGGTGAGACTTACCCATAATCCCCTGGGACACAGTGGCACAAACACTGACAACAGATGCGTTTAACAACTTGCTCAACTAAAACTGACATCCAAACACTCGGTAAGAAGTCATTCTGTTCTTCATTCACTGTCTTCTTCAACCAAATGACATCACTGTTTTGTCTTCATTGCCTTAAATCCTTTTATTTGAACTTATGATTTTCTGCGTGAACTCACACTTAAGTGGGAATAATTTCTCAAACAGTCGATCCAGACGTGCAGCACCACACTGCTAAAACATTCCAGAGTCCTGAACTCAACATTAACACTCATCACACAGACACGCTAAAAATCATCAACACGCACAAACACACCGACTTCAGCGGAGGACTGAAACTTTTAAAGGTGCCATAGAATGCATTGATACAATATTTTAAATTGTTCTCTGATATCTACATAGAAGGTATGTGGCTTAGGTAAGGGCAAAAAATCCGGTTTTACATGTCCATTTACAACCTTAGGATTTGTCCCTAGAATGAAATGGTCTGTTTTTACCTTATTTGGAAGGGTCATGAATAATAAAGTTGAGCTCTGCTCTGATTGGCTGTTTCACAGTGCGGCTCAATGTTGAGCTCTGCTCTGATTGGCTGTTTTACAGTGCGGCTCATTTCAGTAGCTCACACAGCAGGAAGGAAACACAGGGGAAATATATATTTCAATACTTTCTCTTGCAGTTATATCGTTGGGTAATTATACTGTATATAAAATGCGGACATCAGGGAGCCGCTATTAATATGCGGGGCATTAAAACTGCTTGCGAATGCACGATCATGTTTTACTTTCACTTTCGAGATTTGCGATCGCACGTGCTCTGTGTAAACTACAGCGGCAGTACTTACCACACATTTTACAAGATCAGATGCTTGTCAGTGGTGCTCAGGATCTGTAAATCATTCGCCATCATCCTCAGTCATCTCTCCTTACTCTGTTTATGTGGTAAGTGAAATCTTATGTACTGTAATGTAACAGGCTACCGCTAGCAAGCAGCTAACATGTCCCTTTAGTGGCTCGCGTTATTTTTTTAGAACACGCGTTATTTGTTTTCTGTGCCTTTCTGAATACAGACACCAACCCATCCCTGCACTTCACATCCCCTGCACAGCCTGGAACATAACATTTATTTCCATGATCTGCCATTTTCGCTGTTGTCCTCGCTTGTTTCTTCACAAAACCTGCAGAGCTTCTGATGATTCAGCTGTGCAGGTCCGGCTGGCGGCTGGCATAGAACATGGGCGAGTATATGCAAATGTCGGGGGTGTAACTATTAGTGATCCCAACTGTAACGTCACAGTCGGTGACACAATTGTCTTCTACATTGATAATAATCCAAATGTTTCTTGAGCAGCAAATCATATTAGAATGATTTCTGAAGGATCATGTGACACTGAAGACTGGAGTAATGATTCTGAAAATTCAGCTTTGCGTCACAGGAATAAATTACATCCCAAAATATAATCAAATAGAAAACAGTTATTTTAAATTGCAAAAATATTTCACAATTTGAATGCTTTCACTGTATTTTCTGATCAAATAAATGCAGCCTTGGTGAGCAGAAGAGAC